AGATACTGAGAGACTCACACGGAGACCGGGGCCATCCGGTTCCTTAGCTTTTTAGCCTTTCAGTGTTTATCCCCTTAGCTTTTTAGATCTTTTTAGTTGGTTGAGTGGTAGTTTCCATTTAACCACCTAAACGTTATGTACTTTTAGCGGGGGATCTGAGGGCCCAGGCCCAGGATTCTCGAGTGGAAGAAAGTCATGAAATTTCCGCCGGCATGCTTGAAGCGGCCTAAGAAGATGTGGGACTCTGCTGTGCGACCTGCAGCTGCAACTTCAACTCTGACCGAGGGCATACACACATCAACTGCAACTACCCATGTCTTCCAGTTTGAATTGAGTTGGCAACCGCACCGATAGTCGCAATCTATTTCACTAGGGTGATCGGACAACACTGCGCTACTCATCTCACTGAGTGCTGGAATGGAATGAAGCAAACAGTCGCTTGCGATGAAGGCTCCTTGTCTAGATGTTTGGATGCTTGAATTATGATGATTTGAGCGGCCAGACGACAGCTGTAGGTAGCTTCCTTTCTTGGTGTGACCCGCTTTATCGTTTCATGTCCCATGTGTTTTTACCCGGCATGGTCGAATTCGTAGTCAGGGAGTCTCTTGAGTGTAGTGTCCCCCAAGACAAAACACGGCTGTTTGTCAGCCGATGTCGAATGCTGTGTGTGTGTGTGGCCTTTCGGCCCAGTGCTTCCAGCCCCTTCAGGTCAGGGAAAAGGCAACCATGGTACACGCAACCATGGTACATCCACAGGCACAGAGCAACAGACTCTCTTGAGATCCTGAAAGAAAGCTCACTTCCTGAGTTCCTGGACTTTAAACTTTGTGGCACTACAATTTTTAGTGGCAAAAAAAGTTTGGACGTTTTTGGGCCAATCCACTCAGGAAGAGAACCGGCGAACTTGCTAAACGCGTTTCGCAGAGAAGCGCGGCCTTAGAAAGTCTGGGAACTGGCAAGGCCTGTCGTGATCGAGATACCCATGCTCAACACGCCCGGGCCCAAGAGACAGATTGAGTCTTAAGGGATTTCAGAGAACGTTACCCTTGGGGGATACCCTCCCACCAATTGACATGGAACCGTTCGACGTTCGGGTCTTGGTTTGGACCATGTTCCTTTTCAAGGGACCCAGTCGAGATCGCCTCCCAAATCAAGATATGTGCCTTGAGGGAAACTGGGCGGTGAGAGAGCTTGTGTCATGCCCTGATCAGTCCCATTGCGCAGGGACATGTCTGCATGTACTCCATCTTCAGTTAGCAGAGGGAACGACTTGGCTCACCCGAGCCTGCGTGAGGTAGCTTGATCTTTGGATTGACAGTCAACAAGTAGTAGGGGCAGCAAAGGCCATATTGATATCTCAACAGATAACTGAGCTGTGCCCCATTTCGACTCGTGACCATTGATGTGCAAAATCTGCCCATATCTATATTGTGGCACGCCTTGATGTAGCTTTAGCTCATTTTGATCATTGATTACACCCGGTGTTTCTGGCGTTCTTGCTGTTGGTGGCAAGATGACAGTTCTCTCTGTGCAGCGGCCCCAAATTCGAGCTTCATCGACTGACTCCGCGAAAGGAACGCACAAGGAAGGCGAAAGGGCGAGCTCGCAAAGTGGCGCCTAGCCCCTCGACCAGAGCGAAAGTGACACTTCACTTTTAGCAGTTCATCCTCAAGTGGCCCAACCGCTTCGCAAGAAGCAGAGTAGAATCGACAAATGTTTGTCGGTGTTTACTTCAGTGGGGGTTGGTTTTTCCCATGGGAAAACGTGCGAAGTGCGAAAAAGTCCGATTGGCCCGAGAGGAAGACTGATTTGGCCCGAAGGGAAGGCAAATGACAGGCGAAAGAGGCGCTTCCAGGCAGCGTTTTGAAGAACTCCCATTTGGGTATGGGTCAAAATCAAACCACCAGGAATTGGACCGCAGGTTTTTGTCCTTGGTTCCATTTACGAGGGTTCCAGTTTGGGTACCAATTTTTGACCCACAGCCATTTGAAGAGTCAAGAAATGCAAGATGTCGCCGAGCAGATCTAGGCACTAGGCACCGCTTGCCCTGCAACTCACCTGATTGTCATAACTTGGTGGCAAGCCCAGCCATCCGGTTCCTTAACCTTTTGGCTTTTTAGTGTTTATAGTGATAGTTTCCATGTAACCCACTAAAAGTTAAGCTTTTAGTGGGGGATCTGAGGGCAGCCCAGATAAGTGTAAGCATCACTATATAGAAACTATATAGGGCTACCTAGATGAACCTGTGCGCAGGGGTGGGGGGGGAAGGGGGGGGGGGTAAGGTCACTGCACCATATTTACACACTTGCGACGGATGGTTGGCATTTGCTGAAGCACTCTTTTCGACAGATGGTTGGCAATACACGCTTCCTGTAATCTGTCTTGGCAGCGCAAGACCAACAATCCGCCGCCAAACGTGAATTCGGCTTTGCTTTCCAGCCCGCAGTCTTCCCACGTCACAATTTGGAGTGAAGCAACGCTTGAGCCTTCGATAGATATCCCTGAATAGCGGCTCCTTATATTATTATTATTATTATTATTATTATTATTATTTACGGCAATTTGGCTGCACGGAAGACCTTTATTTGGAATTGCCTTATGGTCTTGAGCCAGTACATGCAACGCATTTCACTTTTCAGATGCATGAGAGGGTTCTGACATGACTGGCGCAGCGCGACAGTTGAACCCTTCTACAAGGGTGGTATCGCGTTCGTTTCCCTTGCACGCCATCCCAAACGCCAGAAAGCATCCCTGGCTTCGGCACTCAACTCGTTGGACCCCAAACACTCGGCCTCTCAGTGTGGTGCTCTTGCTGGTCATGGTGATGTCGTTGCAGGCCCGGCGCTTAGTACGACGAGATGTGTTTGTGCTTTTTCACTACTGCTGGGTGGACGAAATCCTGCACCACTTTGAAAGCAGCAAACCATTGTTTGTTGGTATTTACAGGGGAAGCATTATTCCACGGAAGCTCAAACCTCGCCCTCAACACTCAAACTCACAACCCTAAAACACAATCAGCGCGGAGAAAAGCTCCTTAAACCTCAGCCTCAAACTTGTCAGAAGGCCTTAAGCCGCTGCAAAACACAGATTAAGCGGCCCCTCAAATTGCTGCAAAACACAGATACATGGAAAATTCAAGCCTCGTCCCCAACACTCAAACTCAAAATGCACCCGCAGTTTTTTGTTTTGTTTTAAGACTACAGGCCATGAACCAAACTGCCTTACTCAACCGGCCTCAAAATCCGCCCATTTCAAGTTCGCAGCCAACGCACGCTGGCCGCGCTTGTGGTAGGGCGATGTGACTTCTGAAGCAAAAGCACGGTGCAGGATTTCGTCCATCCACATGGACACGATCCGGAGGTGCTATGTGTGAATCATAGGCTTGGAATTTGGATTCTTTCAGGAATCCCTAGGTCCTGTCCGAGGATTGAGATTGTCCTTTTGTCCTACTTGTCCTAATTGGGTGTAGCTCAAAATTTAAGAGCTAGGGTTACGCAGGTTTTGGTATTCGTTTCCATTTACCGAGGACCCATTTTGGGCGCCTGTTTTTGAGCCACTGCCTGTTGTCCTGAAAAGTTATATTTGTCCCAAGAGGTCTTTGGATTGAGATTTAAGCCAACAAGGTACCTCGTACACATTTGCCTGACGCCAGTTCATTGCTGGTTCGGCCCCTGTGCACAGTTAAGTTGCTGCTTCTGCTATTGTGGGAGAAGACCAGATCCCAGCATTGTTCATCCTCAAATGAGCCACAATCAAAACCCGGGTAGATGAAGATTAGTAAGGGATATTCCCAACCATACATAGGCGCGGTGGCCTTTTATTGTATTTTTTTGGTTCTGGGTATACCATTTTAGTACCAGCTTTAATTTTCACTCAAGTGTCAAACACGATTCTGCTGTTGACCTTTGACAGGTGCATGTGTTGCATGTCCCGTCCCAAGCAAAAATACATCTTTCATTTCCACGACCTTGGGCAAGTGGGATTCCCGTTGATCATGGAAGCTGACTGGACGCTTCGGAAAGCCTAGTGGCCTCTTCTTTGAAACCCCGTCATGACCCAAACCATGTTTTGGGTTCTGAGTTTTGCGTAATCTCAGTTTGGGGGGACATTTTTTTTTCGGTGTAGCTGTGGCACACCATGTTGCCGCCAAGTTCCATGACCAGACAGTCATAGCACAAATCCTTGCCGGAGCTGGGCCTAGGTCATCAAGAACGTGGTGCTTCTCATCGTCTGGATGCTGTCCGTGCCTCAAACATGATCCGTGCCTTCCCAATCGTCGACTCAACGCTACGCTGCAACTAGCGCGCCCTAAATAGGCGAGCATGTCGTGACCCCTGGCATCACCACATGAGCCACAATCAAAACCGGGTAGATGAAGGTTAGCAAGGGATGCTCCCAACCATAAATAGCTGCGGATATCCGCCTTCTTAATTCTTTGCATGGTTCTGGGTAGGCCACTTTAATACCGAACGGTTTTGACTATGACTCACATGTGATGACTTGCAGAGCCAGATGAATTTTCTCGCACTGCAAGCGGGCCTCTTGTGTGTTTTCGCAGCCCGGTCTCCGGAATCCGGACTCCGTTTTCGGTCTCTGGATCAATCGGATTTACAGAACCTCTCCACGCGAAGCCGTCTCTTTGCCTTGAGGAAATCGCTCCATTTCAAGAGGGCGGAAGTTAAATGATTGGCTCACCCGGTCCCCCAGTATACCCTTTCTCACCATTTTTTTTGCCTGGGAGGGTTGCCCTACTAAAATAGACTACAGAAACAAGAAACGATACCCTTATTCTAACCTCTCAAATCTGGAGGACCTAGCTCAATAGATCGAGAGTGAAGGCAAGCCTTGGCTTGGGAATTTTTCGGTGCGACCTACTGCATGGATGACTTCTTGCGGCATGCTTCAGATCGCGTGCTTGCGACAACTGTTCAGCCCGGCCCGGCGTCCGAAGGAAACGCCTTCCATTTGATGACATGAACATGGTTTATTTTCCCTTGTTGGTGTTAAAAGTTGGAATCTATCACTACTGGATATATTCTCTCATTTTTTAAAGGGGACTGAAGCAAATGGAAGGTCATGGCACTGACATCAGCAGGCGTTTGGGTCGACGTCACCACAACTCAAGCTTTCTTTCCTTGGACCAGAGTCTGATTTTATCTCGTGGCGCGGCTTGTTTTCCCCCGGGGGGGTTGAGTCATTCGATTGGCTTTGGGCTGTGGGAAACGCTTGTTTATGTGTCATGCTCTTGACAGATAGCTTCTCTACTCCTGAAAGTCATGACCCAAGTCCGACTCCAAGTCTCAGCCCCAGAAGTCAGACCCTTCAGGTCCTCAGCAAATGTTCCCATTTATTCCGGCCGAACACTCGACACCTGGAAGCAAACAGAACGGCGAGGCTTAGCCCCAAGCTGGACTGGAAGAAGATGCCGGAGAGTACGGAGTCCGAGCGCAGCGCCAAGAAGGCTGGAGATGGGGCCACCAATGAGTCCCCAGACGCGAAACATGGTCCTGAATCTGGTTGGAGAACCAGCAAGTTGGTGGTTTCCCCAAAAAGAAGCCGGAAGGGGATACTTGATTCTGATTTTATGGCCGTGGGTGATCTTTTTTTTTTTTTGGGTATCAACCGCAAAGTTTGGTCTCACTTGTCTGCAGTTCCGCAATTTTCCGTTGCCAGCAAGCACTCCCTGAGTTCATGAACTTTAAGCTTTCTGGGTTTGGACCACGTTGGAAAAGTTTGGTTACTGTTTTTGGGCCAGTGTTTCTTTTCAGTTGCGAAATTCAGACATGCACTACGTCACGGGTTGATCATGTGTCCCCTTTGCTATGGCCATGTGAACTGGACTTCTTCGGATGGTCCGCCGGTCGAACATGTTGTTTGGAAAAGGCCTTGCCAACCCGCTCGCGGCATGTAGAGCACGCGAAGGCAGCGCTTTCATGTTTGCGGCAGGTGCTGTTGACCATGCCGACTGGTCACTGGTCGGCCCAACCCGGACCGGCATTGCAACGCTTTACTTGGCTTGGCACAGAGGAGAATCGGACACCATCAAGGCTTGCCCAAGAGGCCACAGACTGGCGTACAGGCCCTGTACTGCCTGCAGAAACTAGCGAAGGCGGCATGGAACTGGTTGAACATGGTTCTCGCCTGCTTTTATTGAGTTTGGCAATGGATGTCCGTGATGCGGCGCTGCAATGGTGCCGCATGTTGCCTGGCGATGTCTTGTCCCGCTATGTCCCGCTCAGACAGAGCAGTTCGCGGTGACAGCCATGCAGACGCATACCGGAAGGGTGACCAGTGCGAGTGCTGTCATATATATGCTGATTGTTTTTTTGCCGGAACGCAATGGAACATTGTGAGCGCCTCCCTGACGCCCCTAGGCTTACGTGTTAAAGCTTCAGTGGCATCGCTCGTGCCTCAACCGAGGGACAGTCAAGCAAGAGGGTTGCAACTGGACCAGTGGGTTCGGGTTTGTGGCTTTTAGCCAGCATCGCTCTCAGGTTTGCCCCGACTCGGGTAGCTACAATTCCTTTAAAGCGTTCCAACCTTCAAACGATGCTATTGGTTTCAAGCAGGTGTTCAGGCCTGTTGCTCTGGCGTTTTAAGCGGCTGTTGGCTTCAGGCGGCGTCTCGACGAGTGCTGCAGTACGACATGGTGGTTGAGTACTTGCCCGGTTCTCAGCGTGCTAACGCTTTCTTTAACATAGCCGATGCCTAGTGTGCTGATTGGATTGCTGGCAATCTCAGAGCTAGTATCATGTTCTGGATTCTGGATGTTTTAGTTGGGCATGTTGGAAAGGTCCTGCAGCTTTATGCTTGCAATTGCCATGTAAGCGGATGATGCTAGCGACAAGGAAGGCATGCACAAAATGACTGCCCATGTTATGCCCGATCATGCCTTCAACATCCCCGGCTGCGCATCTTACAAAGTAATGCATTCATGCAAGCTGACAGGGAGTACACAGCACCTCCCACATGACACACACATGACATAAATACGGCTGACACAAATTTGTCTTCTTTCGCGGAAGCATCTCGAAGGGTTTTCTCGTGCACAGCGCCAAGTCTGCAGATTCTTCCGCCCATTCTGTGGAGCATTCTCATTTCTATCGGGCGAGTTACTATTGCGGTGGGCGGATCGGGGGCTTGGCACGACATGCTTCTGCGCCAATAATCCTCTAGTCTTGGTTGCCTAATGTTGACCCAGGATCTAAGTAGAACCTGTCCCATTAGGGGGGTGGAAACCCCTCCAAAAGTGGTCTGAATCCAACCACTAAACGGGGACACCCCCCGGATCAAAATCAACCATGGGTTTGTTAATCCGGGGTTAACATTAGGTGCAACATCCTCTAGTCTAGAAAATCAAACACACGGCAACCTCCATTGTCTTTGCCGATGAAGAAGTGTATCGTATAGCTCCCTGCTGTTTCACGGAGTGAACTACCACAAGATGATTGGAGCTGGTTGTTGTTTGCAGGGTTGAAATGACCGCCCGCTGAGGTACGTCAATATGATGGGCCACCAGTGGTGGCCCCAGTTCGCATGGAGAACCGACCGGCGTAGCATAATTCAGATGGGGCCAAGTGGTCACAAGCTTTTGGCTCCATTCCCTAAGCATTTTATATAAGCAACATGCCACCTGCTGCTGGCGCAACAGCAGTGATTCAGGTTTATGGAGACGTCCATTTGCTTAAGAATATGTTTGTTTATGTTCCCTTGCTGGTTTAAAAAAGGAAATTATGACTACTGGAAATGCTTTTATTTTTCCCAGGGGTCTTCTCCAAATGGAAGGAGATGTTTTTTCTCTGCGAAGGAGCACGTAAGGATCTGCAACTGGTGGCTCTGGTGAAACCTTCGGAAGGTCCGCAGGAGCGAACGCCATTCAATGATCAAACTGTGAAAGCTTTTTCTTTGCGAGCGACTGGACCAGGACATTTCTGAGGCTGTTGATTGGGGTTGATTTGGGGTTGATTGGGGTTGATTTGGGGTGTTTGTTTCTTCCATTTGCTGAAGTTGTTTGTTCTCTGTTGGTTTTGAAGTTGGAATCGATTTCACTGGACATAGTCTCAACCGATTTGTTCCAGGGACGTTTAAAAGCTGAAGGATATATAAAGTCACAGCTTGACTGCTATTGGGTTGGACCTTTAGACCTTAACTTTTTGGTTGAAATCGAGTTGGGCTGTCCAATAAACCCCCAAAAAGTTGAGAACTTTTTTGCAGGGGGGTCGTTGCAGCAACCAAGAAATTACTAACATGTAGGACAAAAAAAATGCGCGCCACATGGCGCAATTGACAGTGGCTCCACCCCATGGAGTTGGGAGATCCCTTGGGCGTTCCATGGGTCTGAGGCTTCGCCAGGGTCCATCCGTGCAAGGGACTCCTCTGTGCCACCCTTTTTACCACGGAAAAGGCGCGATTTTTTTCGCCCACCGCACCACTGAAACATGAATTTTGTCTTTCATACAGCAGTCTAAGGTGCACGAAAGGCTTTTGGTTGCAAGTAGTGAGTGACATATGCCACTCGTTCACGAATCCGAACGAGCAAAATGAGCTAGGCATGATTACAGTAACCAGTTGTTCTAGTACCTCGCAGCCGTGTGCAGGGTGCTGGGCGCTTTGCTGTGTCTTGTCTTACCAAGGGCCAGATAGGCTTCACTGTCTGAAACGGTTTGGCATCTCCATTGAAGCGCAGGTGCCAAGATAATTTGGCCTACGCTGAAAAAGTGACATGAGGTCTGACAGACAGACGCTTCCGCACAGGCTGCACTTGTACGCTGCCGTGGCTATCCTCGCGATCAACTTGGCGCGCTTGCGGGGGGCTGGGGGGGGGTCTTCCTTGAAGATTTACATGGAGAAAGGATTGACGGGGATAACTTGGCAGATCACTTTGGCTTCCTCCCACACACACAGAATTTCCTTGCGACGATCGCTTGGATTGTTGCTCTGTAGTTTTTCCAGCTGCTTAGCTGTTCAGTGGCGCCGATTATATAATCTTTCTCTGCAATTGTTTTCTCAGGAAACATGGCCAACAAGGCAAGTGCCTTTGTGTCTTCCGGCCACCGGCCAGCTGTTCTTCATTGATTGCTATCTTCCAGGGTATCGGGGATTTTTTGCATGTCCGTCCTGTAGACTCCGACAATTGAAGGTGGGCGCTGAAGATGATACAGTATGCTTTTCGTTGAGTTGGTGCTGAGTTGAGGTGGGAGTCTTCCACATGTAAGACCGGCGCTCCACTTGGTATACGGTGAGGGAGCACTGCTATCGCGATTGTCCCTGGCGGACGGGTAGGAGACATCGATCATTTCTCACTTGGCCAAAGCCTCCCTTTCGACCTTTTTGGCTTTCCCATGTTTGTCATTTTTTTGTGAAGGTGCCAAAAAGTTAATCTTTTATTTCAAGGTCCTGAGGGCAAGTGAGATGTGCTTGTCACAGCCTTGGGAAAGCCTTGCGCCTCGATGTCTAAAAGCTTAGGGCAATGCCTTCGTGAGATTCCACTTCTCGGTTGTTTGTTTTCTTTCTCTCTCTTTTTCCCCACCCGACAGGAAGGGGTTGTTAGATTCTATGTTGGAATCCGCGTTTGCGATGCTTCTACATCACGCCCCCACCCAGTATCCCGCCAGAGCAGCTCGCCAGCGGATCCCGCCGAGTATCCCGCCAGAGCTGCTCGCCAGTGGATCCCGCCCAGTATCCCGCCAGAGCTGCTCGCCAGTGGATCCCGCCGAGTACCCGCCAGAGCTGCTCGCAAGTGGATCCCGCCCAGTATCCCGCCAGAGCTGCTTGCCAGTGGATCCCGCCCAGTATCCCGCCAGAGCTGCTCGCCAGTGGATGTATCCCGCCAGAAGTGGATCCCGCCGAGCATCCCGCCAGAGCGGCTCGCCAGTGGATCCCGCCGAGCATCCCGCCAGAGCGGCTCGCCAGTGGATCCCGCCGAGTATCCCGCTGAGTTGATGGGAATTTGGAGTCGAAGTCCCTAGGATGTGGAGGAATTTGTTGCAACGGTCGTAAGCTCGTGAGTGTGGAGGGTGGGGATTGCTCGAAGCGAAGTAGTTTTTTTTGGGGGGGGGGCTCTGAAATGAAGTTTCTGTTACAGCCCGAGAAGCCTTCATAGCTTTTGAGCATACCCCGGACCTTGAAGACAGAGCTATCAAGTCTTTCATTCGCCCGACACGCCTAGGAGCCATCGGATTCTGAGTGTCTTCTTGGGAGCCCACAACGGGGTACCATCAAAAAACACACACCCATAGGGAAGTGAACTGGCTGGGTCAGCGCACCAAGCCAGGATATGGTCAAAATGAGAGCGCTCTTTGCACGCCGTTTGTTTTTACACAAAAACACATGGGGTCTTTCCTGCTGTTTCTTCGACGTCTGAAGGGACCGCCAAATTGATAAATCTTCGCTGCTTTGGTTCTGCTCCTTTTATGGGGGCTGCTTTGTGCACAAAGTCTAGGTCCCCCAGTAGTGCCCTTTTACCGTTTCTTTTTTGGGGGAGGGTTTCCCGACTAAAATCGACTACGGAAAAAATATCGGAGGACCTAGAAGTTGCGCGCAGACATACCAGAACCTGGAAAGCAAGATGAGGCAAGCGTAGCCTCGACAAGAGATATCGATATCACACCTACCCAACCAATCCCGAAGTGATGTCAGTCGTATGGGCCCTTTGGGTTGGAGCTGTCTTGTGCTCATGTCATCAGCTGAAGGTTATCTGGGTCTTTGCCCAGATGGGCGAGAGGGGGGGTGGTTTGGAGCAGCTTGGAGGGTTCAACAGGAGGGTTTCAGGGGGTACCGTTGTTGGGATACCGGTACCTAGGGTTGAGTTTCCCCCAGATCATGGTCTGTCTTGCCTGTGCTCACTAGGGAATGACCGCTGCGGGTGGGGGATTACCCTGAAGGAAACCATGGGGGATTGGTTTATATGTCATTCCAATTCCTTCCATTTGCTTAAGAGTATTTTGTTCATTTTCCCCTGTTGATTTCAAAGTTGGAGTCTATCACTACTGGACATATTTTCTCTCATTTTTTCCAGGGGACGAAGTAGCAAATGGAGGATTCTCATTCCCGGCTGAGAAGCAGCCAAATTTTGGGGTCCTCCCCAGATCGGAGCTGTGACCAGGGCACGCAGTTCCTGCTGGTGCTGGCGGACATGCTTTTCGGTTTCCACTCCTGGGCCTTACTGCCGGAGCCGTAGAAAGAAAGAAACAAACGAGAAGAAGACAGGCCATGGGAGGTGCGTTTGTCTTTTGACTCACTCCCTGAGTTCAGGGACTAACCCAACTTTCTGGGTTACCAATTTAGTGTTAAACATAAAAAGTTGTTGGACTTCAGTCCACTCGATCGGAAGTGGGTTGAGGTACCACTTAATTGGTGGCTCGGATGGATGGGACGCCACTGGATTTGAATTTTTGCAGAGGGTAAATGGGAAACCATGGCCGGAACACCACTAGGTCCCCCAGTAGTGCCCTTTTACCTTTTTTTTTGGGGAGGGTTCCCCTACTAAAATAGACTACAGAAAAAGGGTACCCTTTTTCTAACCTCTCTACTGAAAAAGCCAGACCACCAAACCACCAATTGGGCAGCTGAGATGTGGGTTCGCCCTTTGAGGGAACCCCAGCCTCCAAGTGCCTCCGTTGCATTTGCGCGAGCCAGTTTCTTCAAGCATGGCCTGTCAATGCATGAGGACAAGGATATTTGAGTCTTGCATTGGGGTTCAAGCTTGGAAGTACATGCTTCGTGAGGCGTGCAGGTGCATTGTTGTGGCAACAACCGCTTGTAGTCCTCTCAATCTTCTGCGGAACTTGTATGTATCTGGTTTCCTACGCTTGTTTTCGGGTTTTGACACCTTGCGCCTGCTTTGAAACGCGCACTTCCTGCGCAACATGCTTGCTTGTTGCCCTTGTGGTTTGCTACATGTATGTTTGCAGTGCAACGGTTTGTTTACAAGTCTACAAGTTGCAGTCGGAACGACGAACATGTGCAGATTCGCAGACATCAGCATTTACAGCGCGCCTATATGGTTCTCATCATTGACCCACGGCATGTGACGAACATACGTATCTGTTGCTCAGGGCACGCACACACCTGCACAACCCAAGGACACCTACTTGTTGCGGTTTCTTGACAAACTAGCGTTTCGCCATGCGAATGTGGAACCGTTATGACGAACGCGTGTCGCCTTTTCCAGAAATACTTGGTTGATGAATGTGTCAAGCAAATCATGTTGCGCAGATCAGAGAAGGACAACCTGGCATTATGAGTTCTCACTTGCCACATAGCGGGGACAAGAAGGTTGGTCGGTAAGCGATTATCTAGTAGGCCTGCCATCCCCTTGATCTAGGTCCTAGGAGTTATACTTACACTTATTTATGAATATATACTTACTTATACTTACTTGTGTACTTGCTCTCTTACTCATTTACTTGCTTATAAACTTATCAACTTATATATTATGCTTGCTTGCTTGTATCTTATACTTATGTTTACTTACCTTGCCTGCCTATTTGCTTACTCACTCACTGACTGATTGACTTTCGGGCCTGAGGAACTCACGGCTCCGGAGTCGAACCTGCTGCCAGCGGCGGCGCGGGTACGAGCCGGAGACTCAGGGATGCCCTTCCGGCCCAAGTCACGAGTCAGTTCGGGGCAGCATTTCGCGAACCCTCGCGAAATGCAAAGGACACCCCATTGTCCCGTTGCTTCAAGAGAAGACATACCACGGTGGGTTTTTTTCTCGTTGGGTGGTTCCTTCAGTGCAACCGCGCTGTTCAGATACGGGGTTGGGGCAATGCTAAATCGGGACGGTGTCAGGTTCCAAAGCAATATCCAGATCAGTCCCTCCCCTGTTGATCAAATAACTTGCTGGTGCGATGGGTAGGTAATCTGGGAAACCACGAGATAAACCATCCAACTGATGGTTTCCTTTACGGGGACCCCTGGCTTGGGTTCATTCCATTTCTCATTCCCTACCGATTTCGCACCAACAAGTTAAAGGAACCCCAAAGGAAACCAACCACCCGGAGGGGTCCCTAATTTTTCTAGAGGTACCTGCCCCATTCTTTCTTTTCAGGAAACCATCAAAAACGCAGGAAACAAAAAGCCTACCAACCAAATCCCGGAAGGTCCTTCCCTACCGATTTCGCCCCAGCTGCTCATCCTCCGCCGTGCCTCCGGCTGAGAGCCATGAAGCCATGCTTCGTTGAGCTATGAGCCAGGGGTGAGGGCGAGTGCGTGCTTTGAGCCCGCCTGTTCTTTGCAGCATGGCCTATTCCACACTTGGCAGATGTCTCGAACTGCACATGATCCATGCGAGCCTCCCAGCCTAGCAAGAAAGAGGAACGGCGAAAAGGCTGAAGACTGCACTTTCCAGCGATTCCACTCCAGTACTAGAGTCTCCGGAGCTGGTTACCAGTTTGATTTCGGCCTTCAGCTTTCAACTGACTTCCCTTGTGACTTGCTTAGGCAGGAAACTGCGCTTTTGCTTTGCTGAAGCTCGTTGAAATAAATGAATTACTTGGGGGAAGTATGGCCACTTAGGTAAGGTAGAGCAGCGCCAGGTTGGAGGTTCCAGAGAATCTTATTGTTGTTCCCCGTTTTCAGGAGGAGTGCGAGAAAGGCTTCCCAGGAGATATGGATAGAGCAGCCCAACCTTTCATGGGGATCACTCATTTGGACATGCAGAAGATTGATTTGGGGGAAATGGCAACCTTGGCCCAAAATCAGATGTGTAAGAAGTAAGGCCTCCAAAGAGGAATTCCGTTGCAAGGAACCCTATCAGCATCTCCAGGGCCCAAGGTGAACCCCAGAGTCCCTGCTTTTGGAGCTTTTCTGGACTTGTTCTTGAGGAAGCGGTGCATCAGCTGTTTCGTGTGGTCCCAATTGTGGGGGAACCGAAGAACCTGGGGCTTACAGCTTCATGAGGTGTGCTCGAAGGCTTGCATCTAAGACTCTTCGTGAAGTACGGTGGATGGACGGAATCCATTGGGCACCACGAAATGAAACCATGGTTGAAACCATTACGTTTGTTGGCATTTACAGGGGAATCGAATATCTTGGTTGGGTCCATTTCGTCCACCCACAGTATCAGGCAATAACGGCTTGTTTATGTTGTGAGTTGTGAGCATTGATTGGTGTAGGACCTGTGAATGAAGTTCATATTGAGTACTCGGCATCTCTTGAGCTAGCGAACATGCTTTTTGAGACAGGTTGCAGTGCTACCAGTCCAATATTGTGGGCACAGGGCATCAGTCCTGAACATAAGAAGGTCCACGACCGCCCTGATGGCAATTTGCCCATAACGGCCTTGGGCTGAGCGAGTCGACCTGGTCATAAGAGTTGTAAAGGATAATCCCCTTGCCATGGGCTTTCCATTCCCGGCTCCAGTTCCCTGTTTTCAGTTCTATCAGAGAGGTTGTATATAATGTCTTCCCAGACATGCTTTGGAATCGTTGGAAACCAAAGGAAAACGGCACTTCCTAAAACACCTCCACAATTTGGAATTCCTCTTGACTTAGCAATGGCTCTGGACCTAGAGAAACCGAAAAACCATGGGTTTGGATTATGACTCATTTCAGAAGCTCCCCACATTTGTCAGGAAACTGTCAACTGGAGAACCTGACCGGGTCAAGTGCCCCAGTAGTGCCAACTTTGACAAACTCTTTTGGTTGGGAGGGTTCCCCTACTCAAATAGACTACGGAAAAAACAACAACAACAAAAAATCGGGTACCAACTTATTCTGACCTCTCAACTGGAGGACCTAGACTTGGTATGGTGATCGGAAGCCTGGAGATAATTCACTGAACAGAGACTTATCACCATGGCCTTTGTGGGTTATTTCACCCGGCTTACGATCACCCCTCAAACAAAGGAGAGGAGCCAACCACCTTTGAAATCCGAGGCCCTGAGGTGAAGTCCGAGAGCCTTCAGAGCCTTTGACTTGGCGCCCAAGTCACCTGCGGTACAAACCGCAGGGGGTGCCGTTGGAGCAAGTTGCGTGGCACTTTCGGTGGTTGCGTTTTTTTTTTTTTTTTTGTTTTTTTTTATATTTGCCACTGGCTGGAGTCATTCAGAGGTTGAGGCGTGCGTTTTCCAAAGGTTTAGAGCGTTTTCTGACAAGCTGTGAGTTCCTGCCAAGCTCGCAGATCGCTGATCGCTTTTCGTGGAAAAGGCTGCCGAGGCCACTACTTTTCCACTCAAGAACTGCCTGCCATTGCAATGTTGCAATAAGTGGCAAGCCAAAGCGTCATGTTTGCGCACGAAATGTTTCTTGTTGCAGGCCTGTGGATATTCGGCTATGGCATGGTTTGTGAATCAATCAGGGGTTTATGCCGGAATCCCGGGTCAGCATTACTGGATTGCTGTCTCTTGGTTTTTATTGTTGGATGCTCCAAGTCCTGTTAGCGCAGTTTCGATCATGATCCTTACCTGGATCGAGTCATGCCCCAGGTCTTGGATTTGGTTCTGCTTGGGGAGAATCCGCAATGACAAGGAGTTATACTCTCCCACCAACTAGCATGGAAGTGCACCTTGCCATTCTCAAGAGGAAGGCAGTCTTTCTACAGGGCTTTGTGTTCCATTTAGTCGGTGGGAGGGTATTAGTTGCTCGAAGTGCGACTTCAATTGATGCCCCTCAGACGATCTATGGATGCCCCAGGGAAAAGCAGAATGGAAGTTCAGTTCAGTTGGGGAGTGGCCAGCTGTCCTTTGGTGTCAACGAGGAAAACTCTGTGTTTCCTGTGGTGTGGTTGCTAGCTATTTGCTCATGGTGTTTCTGGGTGTTGCCTGCTTAAACGAGACGCCTCAATGAAATATTCAGTGTTGGAGGTTGCCTAACGTATTTCGTATTTCTCCCCCAAGGGAGGAAAACCAACAGGGGACTCGGGGATGCCTATCTGGGGAGTTTGCGATAGCGCTCACGTGGCTCAGCACGTGTCCAGAACCGCCAGACATGGAGCGGCACAAGGCATGGAGTGGCAGGAGCAAATTAACTCACACTGCAGATGGTTGAGTTTGGGTTCTTCAGGTGTGCTGCTAGTTTCGACAGCGCCTGCAGATGCCTCAGGTGAAGTTCCCTGCATCACTTCTTGAGAGAAACAACTTTGTCAGCAATATCCACCAAATCACACTCTGGGTTCCTGGACGTTATACTTTTTGGGAAGACCATTTTAGTGGTAAACAAACAGATCAGATTTGTTCTGACCAATCCACTCAGGAGGTGAGCCAAACTTCAAATAACATTCGCCATCACTTCCAGATGCGTCTTCAAGGCATCGACTGGAAGGTGAAAACCCGAAGCTTGCTTCGCGACAGTGTGGCATCAAAACCTCCCCAAACAAATGCACCACCCTGTCTTGGGCGGTGCCTTGTGCATGAGCGATGGGTCCAAATATGACTCTTTTCCCACAATCATCATTGAATTCCATACAACTCCGCATTTTGCCGGCCAAATTCAGCACGAGCCACGCTCTCTGACCCTTCCACACTTCATGGATGCCTCCATGAGTGCAACGTCAAATACCACGACCCTTCACGGCACAAATCAACTCGCGAGCCGGCTTTGGCGATGCGCGCGTGGTACCCCCAGGTGGGTTTCAGGGGTCCTCACGGCCGGGCAGAATATGCGATGCTTGCTGTGGGCCAATACTCAACTCCATTTGGCTGTGGGTCAAAACCAATGGTACCATTTTGGGGTAGGTGCACCACCCATTTTAGTCCATTTTAGTGGGGATTGGGATGTTCACTGGGGGTGCGGGGCTTTTGACCCATGGCCATTTGGTCGATGCTGGTGAGTTCGGACATTTCTTGGAGTTCCATGTGGCCACAGAAATACAAAAAACAGCCTCACAGTATTCAAGGCCGCATAACCACACCGGTGAACCTGGAAGAGTGGGCTCCAGCACACGTGATGAGCCGTGGTTTTTGCGCTTGGTGCAGTGTTTTTTCCCTGCCTAGGTCCCCCCAGCTAGGTGCCCTTTCTCACCAACTTTTTTGGGGGAGGGTTTCCCTACTAAAATAGACTACGGAAAAAAAGGGTACCCTTATTCTAACCCCTCTACTGGAGGACCTAGCTGCTTATGGTGAACCATGTACTTTGAGCAGCTAGTGATGTTGATGAATTGCTAGAAGTGGTTGCGCTTTTCTTTGGCGTGATCGACTTAGTGTAAAGCCTCACTCCCCAGAAACAACGAAGTTTCTTGTAGCTGGTAATGCTCAAGCCAGGCCCCTTTGGTCCACAGCCAGGATTCAGGATTTGTCCTTTTTGGATGCCTTTGGTGCATGTTGCTAGGATGTTCGGACTTTAGCTTTGTTGCCAACTAATGGTGTTTCCAACTGAACCACGAACAGTTAGTCACTTTTAGGGCTCCGCAGATTTCGCAACCGAGATGCGTCAGGCAAGGCAATAGCTCTTTGAGGTGCCCAGTTCTTCAGAGGGGCCGTTTCCTCCTTGCCAAACAACAAAGAAACAAAAGCAGGGACAGCCGGAACCGGAATCCGCCCCCGTCCCTGCTCTTACCCAGTTTTTCCTTCGTTTTTTGCTGAACGCAACATATGACCAACCAAACAAGGATCTCCTTTCCCCCCAGACCTTGACTAGTACACGGTCCTACATGCCATTCTTGGATACATTCAAGGACTGAGTTGCTTTGTACCGGGGGGCTGCCGGACTAGCCCAAGCATGATGCACTAGTTGCGGAGTATCGAGCCAACTCAGGTTGCATACATCAGGCGACGCATCGGATCTTTGGACCTCAACCAAGTTCCTATCGCGAGAAGTCAGCATCCCTGAGATTCCGTGCTTTGGATGGAGCAAAGAGGTCTACGGACGGACGGACTTCAAACATTGCGCAATGCCAGATGTGGTTTGCCCCCTTTGGCCCTCCCTCCATTTCCACCAAGGCAAGGCGTTGAATTTTCAGTTTTTAAGCTTCCTAATGTTGACCCCGGATTAGTAAACCCCTGGTTGATTAATAGGGGGTGTCCCCTTTTAGTGGGGATTCATCACTTCTGGAGGGAACACTCCCCCAAATAATTGGACAGCTGTATCAAGTTTATTAATCCTGGGTCAACATTACAGCCTCGGGCTGGGGCTTTCCAAGTCGGTTTTGTGCTTCACAGAGGCTTCCCGTGGCAGACTCTCTTGGCAGGTCGGCCCAGTGTTCAAGGCCGATGTCTTGGCAGTGGAGGAGCGAGCCGATCAATCAGCAGTCTTAGGTTATTAGACTTAGTTTATTTGGTAAGCGTGGTTGGGTTTCCGAATGCAACCCACTAAAGTCAAGCATTTTAGCAGGGGATCTGAGGACAGCCCGGTTGTGGTGTCCCTTTATGATTGACGGAAAGGGGGGAAGACTCCCCATTCCCCCCCATTTTCGCATCGAAGCACTTCGGTGGCTTACTGCCGATTCGTCGCAAAGCGCCGTTGTGAAAGCCTCCGGGTACCTATGTCGCCTTAGCACCTTGGTTCGGGACGGACGCGCAAGGGACACCTGCCATTTTTTGGGGTGCCCATGGTTGTTCAGCAGATTCATGTCTCATGTGTGGGTTGGCTGGACGCACCTTTGGCCTGTGCTTTGTGGTGCTTGCACAGCGAAGAGGAGCTGTTTGCAGCGCGGCGAGCGGGGGCCCCGGTGAGTGTTTACTTATTTGTGGGTCAAAAGACGGTACCCAGAATGAAAGCCCGGGAAAATGGAATGACGAAAACCTGCGGTCCAGTTCCTGGTGGTAGGATTTCTTTTCTTGGTGGCAAGCCCAGCCTTCCGGTTCCTCAGCTTTTTAGCCTTTCGGTTCCTGTGGGGATTCGCATTTAGCCCACTAAAAGTTAGTCGCTTTTTGCCGTGGATCTGAAGGCGGACAGCCCAGTTTTGTTTTGGACATTGGAAGTTGACAGTGGACTATGAGCGGGTAGCGGCTCCGGCACTGAAGCTGCGCTTGTCTTGGCTGTGGGTCAAAAATAGGTAATAAAATGGATCCCTGGGAGGTGGAGAGCACCTGCGGGTTTTGTGCTGGTTTAATTTTGACCCATACCCTTTCATGCTCCAAATAAGCTTCATGATATATTTTTACTAAGGGAAGGCGTCGGTGATCCTCGAAGAGGTTTACCTGTTGCTGCAAGCCTTTAGCCCATAGCCAGAACAGGCCATGCTGGCAGAGTCATTCCTGTCGGGCAGCAGCTCGATGTGTTTGTATTCTTTGGTGCATTTTGCCCAGGGATGTTAGGACTTTAACTTTTTGCCAACTAATGGGTTTTCCATTCAACCACTAAAAGTTGAACTTTTGCAGGGGAGCAGAAAGCAACCGAGAAATGTTTGTATTGCATGGCGGTGGGGCAACGAAAAGGCAGAATTGTGCCAAGCTGAGTGGAGAGCCGTAGCATTCATCTTCCAATGGCGGCTTTGGAAGTCGGTTGGGGTTTTGCCGCTCATTGTGGTTGATGAACAATCAGAGGAACTATCGCCGCCGGCAGCATCACAGTTTGGACTGTTCAAAGGCAATCCTCAATCCTTAACTTGGGTTACGCAAGGGGTCCCCTTGGGTTGCGAAAGGGGTCCCCTTGGGTTACGAAAGGGGTCCTTGGGTTACGAAAAGGGTCCCCTTGATTTACGAAAGGAACCAGTCCCCTTTGTTTCAACAACCAACTAGGCCAACACGAGCTCCTAGTTGGCGATTCCCCAAGGGGTCCTTGGGTTACGAAAAGGGTCCCTAGTTGTGCAACAGGCATTGTGGAAAATCGCCAACTAGGCCAACACGAGCCATGAACCGCCACTGGTGGCCTTCAACTGGTAACAAATGAAGCCTGGGCGGATGCTTTTCCCGAGCTCCCCGCAAAACGAAAACGAAAATAGGGGCGATCGATGGGTACGTCAGGTAAGTGGTGATCGTAAGCCTGGTGAGATGACCACCAAACGGAGACTTATAACCATGGCTTTTGTGGGTTAGAACCAGGCTTATTAACCACTTGCTAAGCACAATCTCCTTTATAAGTACTTGGTTGTTCCTTCTTTCCGGTCTGGGAACGATA